TGATAAAAGAATTCCTCCAAGCAGTCGTGGAAGTATCGATCGTTGAAATACTAGACCTACTCGTTACGTTTGGAGCAGAGAACTTCGTAAGGGGACCAGCGATACCGCTCACCGAAGGAGTGCAGAATTTGCGACTAGATGGACTTCTAACGTTGATCGCGATAACACATGGAAACTTAGGAGGATTGATGAATTTGACACGCTATCCGGAGCAGGTGAGGGAGAACATGAGGAAATTCGACGTGAAGCGATCCACGGATTCCTGGAATAAGATAAGAGATTTGCGACATCCACTTCCTCCTGCAGCAGAATCGCTTTGGAACAGGAGAGGATGCAACGATTCAGAGGGAGGAAGACGTGCGACGTCATACTGGGGCATGCCCCTGCTAACTGACCTGAGGTTAGCTATGAGGACCGACCCCTTAGCATTGATCAGAGGGGCCACGGAGTTCGTGACAGTGATATACGGTTCGGCATTCACGCTTGCGTTCCCTGACGTTAACGTGGAGGCTTAAAGGAGGTCGGTATTGCACCTGAACCTCATATCAGCAGTGGACGGAAGTACACTTAACTGGAGTGAACAACACGCGTTACGAGAATTGATGAGTGAGGACTTGTTATTCGCGAAGATATCAGAGCCGGAGATGACCGTCATAAATTTTGATGATCACTTCCGAGACAGGATTGGGGAAGAGGACAGAGGGCCCATTGAGGTATTCCCGAAGCTCTGGAATCTAAGACCCTACGACAAAACAAACGGCGAAGTCGCAAGAATTCCTCGACTGACCGCAGCGTACCATAAACTGTGAGAAGAAAAGAAGGGCTGTGGTGACTACAAGAAACTGCCAGAAGAGATCCCGGAATTCCCTTTGATTAGAAGGATGTTGCTCGGAGCAGATTCCGTAGTACAAACCCCTAGGTTGGGAGCCTTTGAGATCAATGAAAGGAGGGTAGCGAAGTTCTCTGAGACGATGGACCCGTACTTCCTGCGCAGAGACGCCGCAGTGCTGCAGTATACGCAATTTGCTCACACGGATGAAGCAAAAGGGAGACGAATGAACAATCCAGCGACTCCGAAGCCTGGGAGGTTTGACGAGGAGTTGGCGAAATTGGATCTAGCGCATATGATCATGAGAGGCAAGGCTGACTTACCAGAAGCCTCCCTAATCTTAACGAGTGTAAAACCAGAGTTAACGGTGGGAGGAACACTTCAGACTAGAAACATGCTAGCACCCTTCAGCTATGAAGAAGTCAAGGTAGTTCACGGAGAGGAGGAAGATCAGTCAGCTGGCAGATTAGTTGTACCGAAATATCCTGAGGGGGCAAGGGGTGAAAAGCAAGGGCCCTCAAGTTCAGGAAATAATCCAGGAAGGAAGCCGTCGATCGGAAAAACCTATGCAACAGAAACCCGATCAAGCCGAGAAAGAAGACAATAAGGCTTCGACAGGAGGGATGTCCAGACTGGACTTCAATTTCCTCAACGATTTTGAAAACGGCACGCACGGACACGTTGAAAGCGACGACTGAGCCGGCAGACGAGGGAACTTCCACGCTGGAACCCCCGTCGGCCTTCATCGGAACGAACCGAAACTGGCCGGAGAGCAGCTCTCCGAGCAATTCCAAAAACACCGAACAGAAACTCTTGATGGACTCACCAAAGAGAAGAAGGATAGGAGGCTCTGCCAGAGTACCTTTCTCGGGAACGTTGCCGAAGAAGAGTGGGAGGTGCATCATAGAGACCATGAAAATAGGACAGGATACAGAATGGACAGCATACAGAATTGCGCTCCTATTCACAACCAATTCCATTCATGGAAGAGGTCTGGATAGTAGTTAAGAGCTACGGAACCTAGTCTATTTTGAGAATAGGTTTCAACCGACCACTAATGAGGGAATTCCTTGACAAACTCGACGAGTTTGAAAGGAGATTGAGCGAAATGCTGATCGACTCGGCCACTGATGAAAGTGAGGCAAACTCTCCTATAAAGATGACACCGCATGAAGACAAAGGTGAAGCGTCTAGAGTAGCGTAAAATTGGCTTATTCAACCATTTCTACCCTTTGGTAGTGGTGTAAGGGCTTTCTAAAAATTTTTTTATAAAACGTGTCTTTACCTCTCCGAATTGGTGAATTTGCTAAAAACAATCCTAAAAAATTTTCACGCTTACTTTTTTGAATATTTGATGTTTCTATTAGTAAGCTCAGCTACTAGTTAATTCAGTAGTTCTAAAGTTATTAACCAAAACGTCTTTTTTCTAGGGTCAGAAAATTTCTCTCTTATAGGTTTTGCCTAACTTTTTTCGCAATTCTGTTCTTTTTGACCTAAAAATTATTGATCCGAGCTCAGAAGGCCTATACTCTTCTAGTTCAATGCAAAAAAGCCGCTCTAAAACGCTCTAGCTGTAAAAAATTTGCAAAAAACTATGCTATTTTGACCCCTCCGGATTGATGAAACCACTAAATCAAACACGTTAACTTCGATTTCTCTGTAACCCGGAAGGTTATTGGCAAACGGGTTTTGAAACCTGTCGATTCACTAGTGGACGTTGTCCGAACAACTATTTTTACTGTCCTAACGCAAAAATTTCAAAAAATTTTCGTAGTTTATAATGTTTTGTTTTTTCAAAACTCACGAAATTTCGGTTTTTGGTACCAAAATAGTTACAAACACTTCTGAACTAAACTCAACCGGTTATACCCATTATCCTAGCACAGTTACGATGTAACTCACTAATTTAGCGCTTTTTTCTATTCCAGAAAATATCGATATCTCAAAAATTGCGATTTGTGGGGGGATCAAAATATTGCTACTTTAATCCTAAAAACCGGTCCGCTTACTGTGTTTTTCACTGAAAATGATATTAGAGTATTAATATAGGGTATATAAGTATTAATAATAGTAATACTATACCCCTCCGGGTTTGTTCAATATCCGAATTAAGGTGCTTAACTCGGAAATTCGCAGTTCGGTGAAGGGTCACTACAGTGCAGCACTGTCGAGCCCCCCACAGATTACTATCTTATTTTTTGTACCAAAAGGTATACAAAACTTGTTAACGATACCCAACAGTCGACTGTTGTTGTCGTTGAGCCCCTCTTGTCACTCCTTGTGCTGCTTGCTGGATCAGTCTTCTTCACTAATACCGAGACCCCTCCGGATTGAGCGCAAATCAGCAGACCCTTTCGGATTGAGCGCAAATCAGCAGACCCTTCCGGATTGAGCGCAAATTAGCATTAACGTGCTTAAATACTCAAATAACCCTACGTTACAATCCTCAAAAACGGGCTAAAAAATGATCGTAATAATCCTGATTGATATGAATGCCTGTAACAACAATATATCTATCAACAACAAACGGGAGGGTCTGATCACATCTTGTCTGGGGAGATCATTTCTACTAATTTTTTAAAAAATTTTTTTTACTGTTTTTGGTTTTTTCGGTTATTTTTATGTTTTTTGTTTTTCTTGGGTACTATACTATTTTTTGTTTGGTTTCTTATATATCTTTAAGAGTTTTTGGTCACAAACCTCTCAGGGAACGAGGGGACGGCTGAATCCCCCACCCTTCCTGGAACGTGAATTTTCGTTTTTAACTATGTTAAAAAGCTATTCACGGTAATCCGGAAGGCTTCCGCGTTCCGAACTACCTTTCCACCCCGGCGGTTAGGGCCTATTAAGGGCGTTATTATGAGCATCCGCTCAGCGCGGATTGCTCGTTAACGGTTCTGCCGGTCATGATGTTAAAAAGAATAACACCCAGGAGCGCCATAAAAAAATCTATGTAACATTCGCCCGGAAGTACATATCGACGGAAAATAAAGCTAGGTTCTAAGACGACTGGCGAACGTCCGAACAGAGCTCTACATGTTTTTCATCGTCTCTACCAAAGCCAGTTCTTTTGGTGGTCTTTCCAACATCGGGTCGACAAAAACGTTACTGCTCTCCGGCTTCGAACATAACTCTCAAATTAACTTGCTTACATGTAAAATTAGTGAGCTCATGGCTGCGTCTCAGTATCCCCAGACCACGAGGTCACTCCTAAAAACAGGGCTACTACTATTTCTTTTATTAGTATTGTTTTTGTTCAGTAGATAAAAATCATCATCTCCATCGAAGATGGATCAACCCTTTCCCCTAACTCCTAGCTTCTCATCGTCAGAAAATGAATTCAGATGTTAAATAAATTCAATTCAGGACATAATCGGGAAGCTAAAAGTTTATATAAAAGGATTTCAGTTCAAGTCCCGAGACCCCTCCGGATTCCTGAATCCGGGGAAATAACACCCTTATCTTCTTTCCGGAAGGCTGTTTTTCTACACTTCACCGTTGTTGTCAACGGCCTTGCAACGATTGTAGAGACACAGTCGTTGCAACTTGAGCGGTCTCTGCTTATTCTGCTATTCGTTGTTGCTTTTTTATCGCAGTTCTCGTTGTTGTCGCCGTTGCAACTATTGTTGTTGTGTCTTAATTCTGGATTTCTTCCAAAATCGCCGATATTGACGTTTCTCAAAAATATGACGTCATCGTTCGACATTTTAAAAGTGTAAAATACCAGAATATTCTAGCCTTCCCAGTTTGACTAATCGTTCCAATAACACTGTTAATCCTTCAAAACTGCTAATTCGGAAGGTTAGCTGCTAATAATTCGAAATTGCCGAATCTGCATTTTCGTCCATTCTGGTCGAATGTCACAATTTTTTCAAGCTCCTTAGTTTTTTCGTCGAGCAAGTCTTTCCGGCAAAGTTCGCCGATTGGAGATTATCGGAACAATTATCGGAAAGCTTTTATTATATTTTTTAACGTTACTTGCTCCAATTTTGAATGAAATGCAGAAAAAATCAATCTTCGACTTTTTAACGTCACGATTGATATATCACTCAACTTATTTGGATGATTATTTATGGTACATAATTTTTCGTGGAGAAACTAAAACCGTTCAAAAGACGAATACCGTCCCAGAAGTACTAACTAGAAGTTGCGTTCAAATGATTTCAGGCTTAGCAGTAATGGGCAGAAAAGGACGTCGCAAAACCGAATCTGCAGCGCCTAAAATTATAGAGCCTGAATCTCAAAATTTAACTAGCTACGAACTCAAAAGAAAAATACAAACGGCGCAGCGAGCAATTCAGAAAAAAGATATCAAAAAGATGTTTGCGTCTCCAATTACTGATGCTATTGCACCCGGATATTCTCAGATTATTGCAAAATGCATGGATTTTTATACCATCAACAAAAAAGTTGCAGCAGAGTCCTATTCAACATTTCGCGAGTACATGACAGATGTTGCACTAGTAATTCAAAATTGCATGTCCTATAACATGGGCGAAACTCCTTATTTTAAATATGCTTCAAAGTTGGCTCCTGTGTTTGAAAAAATTTTCACCCGAGAGTTGGGCATAAATTTTACAATTAAACTGCCTCCTCCAAGAACAGAGCCTATCTTATTAAGAGATATAATCCCTGGGTATGAATCATCAGGCGAAGGAAGTGAAGAGGAACAATTATCGGAAAGCGATACACAGGAAAATGACGAGCCTGAAAAAACTTCAACTGAAAATAACGTAGAGGATGATACATTTAAAAACATGACACCACCAACAGAGGACAGTTTATATGAATCTGAAGGCGTCAAAGATGCAAAAGATGAACGGGCGTTTGAAGAACATTTACTGAGGCAAGAGGAAAATTTAAACGATTCTACCCTGCAACAGGTAGATCAAGTACAAAATGCTGAAGTAATTAGACAAGATGCTGATTTTGACGCTGTCGATGATAGCGGGCGTGACAGCAACAGAACTAATGAAATGCTCGAGGACAGCACAGTAGACAAGTCAAATGACTCTGGCGTTGAGACCAATGTTTCAGAAATATCAGGAGTCATTGAGCCGTCCTTTGAAATCAAAGTAGAGTCAGAAAACCGTTCCAATATTGCACTCCCGCTAGAGGTTGATATAGAGCAAAACTCTGATAAAGTGTCTGTATCCTCAGATGTTAGTAAAAACAGTGGATTTTCGTTTGCTTCTAGCTCACATCAACTTCCTTCTACTCCGACAAAGCAACGCAAACTGCTCAAGAAACGAAAGCGTAACGACATGTACGAGTTTGTGGACGAAGAAGTTGCCGAGAAACCTCTCAACGACATTCCTGGAAAATCAAAATTGTCCATTGAAGACATTCTCAATATGTCGAGTGAACAAGGCGGAGATGCGGATGACTCTGTCTTAATCGGTGGGAAGCCAAATATACAAGATGCGTGCTCGCCCATTGCTTTTTCAGACGAAGAAACGCATTTGATTGTCAATGAAGATGCGTCTTCCACCCAATTGGAAAACAAAACGGCCATCAAGTGTGAGAATTCTGCATCGGATGATTTAATTGAACGAACTGACGAAGAAAAGCCAGAGACGTTTAATAATAACTTGACTGATACAAACCAATTACTTGCTGTTGTAGCTGAAATTGGAAAAGAACATGAAGAACCTTTATCCGAGGTTGAAACAAATCAGTCTTCAGAAAGCAAAACTTCACAGGGTCCGGAGACAAGTCAAGTCACTGAATCAATTAAAGATGTAAGCGTCACTTCGAAATATAGTAAAGAAGAGAATACTTTTACTTTACCAGATTCAATTGAACCTGGAGAAACAGGCGAACATTACTTACAGGTTCAAGAGCCAGTACCCCAAATTCATGTTCACAATGAATGTAACACTACCGAAACCGTTCCTTCTGAACACGGTTCACCACCGAGTCACGAGGCGGCAGTGGAAGCCAAAGTGCCAGTTAAGCGAAAAAGAGGCAGGCCGCCTAAGACAAAAGACCCTTCGTATGATTTGTCGCCCAAGAAATCTGCAAAGAGGCCCAAGCCAAGTGGGAAAGAAACAATGGCCGATACTTCGGGATTTCATCTACCAGATGCCATGGATCAATGTCCACTTGCTATGGGCCATCCTTTGAGTGAGCTTCCTGGCTGCTACAATGAAATTAAGCATGACGTGGGAAGACACCTTCAATACGAGAAACCACAAGTTGTCTTAACTACAGATTCAAAATCGATCAATTGTAGTGCGCATGTGCCACAAACAGAGAATTTGTGCAATTTTGGTGTACAAAGCTCGGCTGGTAGCAGCTCTTATGTGCAAGCTAGTATACCAGGAGTCGTGAGCGAGTCACAAAGTAGTGGTCCCCCAAATATAGTTAACGGAAATTTGATGGCCTACCCTCAGCAGCTACCATCTATTAGTCACTTAGTACCACCTCAGTTTTCTAACCATGATGATACCAGATCTCACAGTAGACAGATCCGCATCTCGCCATCCAATTCATCTTCGCAGATGTGTAATATTGAGAGCCAAATAGCAGATATATCCCCAAGTATACTAACCTTTACTCCGTCAACTGCCGTGAACTTTGAATCGTCTCCATCAGCGACCAAATACTTCGATGACTTATTCGTCACTCCTGTCAAATCCACTGACAATCTGCAATTATTAGCTTCAAATTCACGAATATGTAGTTCCAACCCAGCCACAAACTTTGTGCCCCCTGCGTTTGCGGAACATAATTCTGAAGATTCAAGTACTCAATTTCGTTCGCCAAAGGAGTTGATACCAGTCACAAAGATCGCATGTAAGCGAAGTGCGTCATTGTTTCCTGATGAAGCACTGAATAAGAAAACGTCGAAAACAGAACTTCATGGAGATGCAGCTAACTTAGAAGACCAGCCCACTCCGGGGTCACAACAGGCGCCATATGTTCAAGTGCAAATAAAGAATCGCTCATACAAAGTATCTCGGGCTACACCGCTGGCGGGAAGTGTGGAGAACCCGCTGGGCTACTTGAAAAATGGTGGACTCAGGGGACAGATTAATTTTCTACCCAGAACTCCTTGCGCTGAAAAACGAATCAATGTTCCTAAAGATTTTCTCGCTTCTAAGACACAGTCATCTCAACAATATCAGAGGTTGACAGAAACATCAGGTCTTGGCAAATACTCTTACCTCAATTATGGTCCATACGGACATACGGCACCTGACGGAGAATCGTCGAAGAAATCTGAAACAAATCAGATGCACTTAGATTTGTTACATTCCGTGTACTCAGGAACGGTAGGCTTACAATTTGCTGAAAGTTTGAAAACGTTCACTAGTGGAATGAACGGATACATGAAAGGTGTGGTAAACGAGTTCTTGGATTCGTTTACTGACGGTAAGCATTCACTTTACGAAAATTGCCAGTTCTTGTCACTGCCTTATGACGACGAAGAAAGATTAACAATATCAGAAAAAGAACTGAAACTGCTTAAAAGTTTGAAAAAACAAGGAATAGACTTACCGTTCTTGGACGAAACCCATCGAGAATCTGCACACATAATCTCCAAATGCGTAGATTCAGTGATTAACCTGAAAGCCACTTCAGAAAAACCAACTACAAAGATTGATAACTGCAGGACCAGTGAATTATCTCTCTCAAATAACCCACCTTGTGAGAAACATCCGAGTCATGCAGTCAAAACTGTAGAAGGTGAGACAAAGTCGTCAGAATTGTTCGATCACGAAGCACAAAGTTGCAAACCGGACACTGTTCCATGTCAACCAGAAATGGATGCCGAACTAAGTAAACAACCAGAAAATGAAGCGCACAAGTGCCAACAGAATTCTGATGTAGAATATGCAAAGAAGTTTGTTGGTAAAGCAATAGTTGCCAGGTTGAAGAAAGAAGACGCTTCTTTTCAAAATGATCAGGAATTGCAAAATATTAGTCTAGAATGCGACATCGATTTTTCGAATCTACTTACCTTTGAATCGCCGCAAGGAAACGATAAAAGTGAATATCAGGAGTCTTCAGAGAGCAAAACCACACATTTTTCTCCGACACATTCGACAGACATGGTTTCTAGTCCAAGTTTTCGATAGCAGTCTATGGAATCTGTTTGCCTCGCCCAAGATTCTACAAGTGATGAAAAGAAGTCAAGGGCGAACTTGGGCATCTTTCCAGTTGAAGAATCCGAAACAACTTCGAATGGCGAAATAGTAGAATCAGAATCAAAAACCCGAAAATCATACTCTCAGATTCACAGTCCACTTTCTAATTCCATGCGGATCTCTGGCGTCATTGACAAAGAAACAGGCACTCAAAGTGAATGCAATGATCAAAAGATTGACAGCAATTGTCAAAATGAAGCTTCAGAAAGCGAAGAGTTCGTCAATCAAGGGAGTCTTCTCGAAATGAAAAACAATGATGAAACGGCAAAGAGGGGAATACCCGCCACAGAATCGATATCTTGCGAGATTCCAGCGTGTTCTTCTGAACTGAATGTCAGTGTAAGTTCCAATGATTCTTTCGGCTCATTGTTCCAGACTCCTACACCTACTGCGACGCTCAACTTAGACAACAGCTCCTTACAGCTGCCATCCAGCATTAGTCCTTTTTTCGACGCATTCGGTCACATTGAGATGCTTTCCCTTCCAAATTCAGATTCGAAAGGCGACTGTGACGAAGAAGGAGAACTGAAGGAGTCCCCCAATTTATTCGGCAACAGTTCAACTCTCAACAATCACTCCTCTCTACTCTGCAATGGTTTCGCCTCAGGGCCACAAGATGCTCAGCCGATTGAACCAGATACCGAGGGTACTACTTTGGGAAAATCGTCAGCAGAAGAATGGAACAGATGACATCAGTGGCCATTACAATTTTAATGGAAGCAACTGCAGTAATTGGCATTTCTACTGATGTCTGTTCCTTCCATTCTATCGATATACCAGGCCATGTCTGCAATGAATATTCCATATTCAGTCTCGATCAATCACACTTTCAAAGTCTTTATCTTCGATTCTCTATAGATGTAGTGCTCGTCATTTTCTCTTTTCCTCGAGAAATAGCGAGCTGAAATTTGTCTATCTTCTTGAAGCTGAACTCTTTTTCTGTTTTTACTTATTTAATTTTTGATAGCATTATTTATTTGCGCTGAGATTAGTAATTGTAAATTTCTTGTCTTAGAGACGAATCTTAGAATTGAAGTTTTTGTACAAATACTCTAATACTATATTCCTAATTAAATCCAAGTTTGCTTTGCAATTAATATCTAGATAGTGATATATTTTTTTATGATTAGTTGGCTTTGTTCCGAACATCAAAAGAAAGCTTTGTTTTACCAGGAGAAAAGTTCAGAAAATCCAATGCGCAATTGCATTGATGTGATACCTTTATCCACGCTAACTTGTTGACTATATATACCACTGGGTTTGTCAGTCAAGAGCGCGGTACATTTTTTTGATCTCAAATGCCGGAGGTTAAAATATGACTTTTAAATTAGCTTGAGGTGTAAATTGTGATTTTGTTGACTATCTGAAATATTGTTGCATCCATTTGCCCTTGTTTTATACAAAGGCTTTGTCCGGTGAACAAATTGCTTTAAAATAATTGATCAAGCATTCAACACTCGCGATTAGCAGCAAGTATGAAGCAACATTTTTTACTCGAATTTTCCCGCAAAAATTTTGTTGAGATTTATTTCAGCACGTGACGTCACAGCATGTAGCACACATGCGTTTTTTTGCTCAAAGGTCTATCAATCCCAACCCACTGCGTTCCTTAAAAGTTTCATTTCCAATCTATTCGCGGTAAAAAGTTTTATTGAATTTTTTGTTATTTTCCGACGTCGTTTTTGTCGGCCGAGTTACTGATTTTTTTTTCTGTCAGCCAACTACATCGCTTACTCAATTTTTTTATGAAAACTTGACCGCAAGTAAATTTTCTGCGGTGACCATTAGGTGGTCTCCTTCCCTACCTCTACCTTCCCTACCTTAACTGAACGTAAAGTTAAAGGTTTTTTTTTGAACACTTAGTTGACTTATTTGCCTTGCCGGCTTTATCGCTCACCTTTTTTATCAATAATTTAATTACAGCTTCCTCAATTTAGTTTCACAGCTTTTTATTGGAAATTTGTTTGCCTCCCTGCAATCTTTTAGTTTATAGGCAATATTGTGTGTGGTTTTTGAAAGCCGTTTTTTGCCTCAATTTTTTTTATTTAATCATTTACTTACTACCTTCTGGCGTCTCTTAGGATGCCATTACACAAGCGCTTTTTAGTGAGCGTAGTGTAATAGTACGATTTTTCCAACGTAAGTCGCAAATTATGGTGCCACTTTTGTTGGCACCGTTATGGCTCTGATAGCATGTGCTTTGGCAGTAATATGTTAACGTAGTTGATGCATTTTTACATAAGCATAGCTTGTGTTATAGTGTGAACTCTTTTTTCCAATCTAAATCGCAAATATTGTTGCGATGCAATTGTTGCGTTAAAATGTGTTCATTTTGAAAGTGTTCATTTTGATCCAGCTATGAAGTGCAGCCAATGCTAAGGATATTAACACACACTATTATATTACAAATAGCACTTTAGCTATTAAATTGAGGAATATTAGTTGGTAATTTTTTTTTCAAATTGACTTGTACTGCTAATGCGTCATAATCGGCCTGCGTCACTTAGCATTTATGTAGTCTCATAATTGGCGTGCGTCACTTGAGAAATTTTGTAGACTCGAATTTTTACTCATTCAGTTTTTCCCAGTAGCGTTATAGGTCATATTTTTGCTTGTGTATGCGAAGTGCAACGTCGCCTCTCTGTTAATTCATCAAATGAACCGAAAAAGCTATTTGTTTCAAACAACATAACAATAATAAAAACTCGATTTCAGAATTTTTTAAAACTGAATATATCTCGTCTTTTTTTGAGAAGTTATTTTTGATATGGCTTTATGCTTTCCAATTTATTACATGCAAAGTTATTTTGGATGACTTCAGTTTAATATTCCAAATTATTACATCCAAAATTGTGTCCCTTTGTATTTGGTGACATTTTTGCTGCATGGCATTGGCAATTTATCAGCGTATATAGCTGTGTTGTTTGTGAGTAATTTCTACCGATATTCAAGCGAGAGGGCAGGGTGTTAGACTCCAAATCTCGATGTCGCATGTTCGAATCCGATACGTAGCAAAAAAATTTTTAATTTGAGGCTTATTTCTATTTTTTTTTGATAATTATCTGTATAAAGCTGCCTATTTTTCGTGTTTCATAATTATTGTTTCAATGTTGCCCTTGATTTTTATTTCATGTATAGCAAGTGGTGCGAAACTCCACATCACCGCTGTTTTATCTTGCGTTAAAATCAATTCATGTTCTAGCGACTGATTATGAACGTAGAGGTAACGTTTTTTTTCTGACGACAAAAGATCCGCGGTTCAAGCACGGTAAATATCTGTATTTTTTTGCCAGCCAGAAAATCTGTACTTTCTGCAAGTTTGTCAATTTAAATGCATATTTTAATCGTGCAGCTACTGTTAGTGGTTTTGTGAAATGAAATTGATAAAAAAAATTGTAGAAGTTCGATTGTAAACATATTTTAAAAACCGTTTTGTCCTTTTTAGGAAAATGACTCGTGATAAATCTTCAAAATCTCTAAGCGTGGAAAACAATTAATGCGGAGTTTACAAGTGGAGAGGAGTGATGTCTTTTGCTGTTTCTCTTGTTTCTCATGCAAAATCAGGTGTCACTAATGATCGTCGGAATCGGTTGAGTGATATGTCATTTCAACCCTTTTTAGTAGTGATCTTTTAGTCGTGATCGCGAAATTTCTCTAGTTGTCGAGAAAAATCGTTTCGATATTTTTTATTATAGTTTGATTTCGAGCTTGTAGGTATTATAATAGAAAAATAAGCTTTTTTAAGTGGTTAAAAGTTTACTTTGACGACAGGTTGTTTTTGACGCGTGCTAAAAAAATTAGAAACTATTTTGAATAAACCATAGTCGATCATGTCTTATGGTATAAGCTTTTGTTCCTCTTATCACGCCTCCCACGAAAAATGACGCACCTATTGTGCTATTTGTACAGCAACTGGCTACTTCTGTTCACTTTTCTTTTTTCTGCCGATGGATGTCCAAGTTATTTACTTGTTGTACTATTTCGTATTTTTTCATATCTTTTTTTTTTCAACGTTCATGTTTTGTTTTTTGGTTTAGTTTTTTAGGTGCAATTTTTACTCCGACTGTTAGCAAGGGTATTACAAGCCTTTGCTAGACATTTTTGCCCCATTCTAAAGGTTGTTCACATTTGACTCTTGGTCTTGGTCATAAGAGGTTACGTGCTTCAAAAGAATTTGAAATCCAAAAACTGCTTCTGACTTTAGCCTAGAGTTAACGAATTTGCTCTGGACTGTAGTGGGAAGGCGCGTTCGAATCCGCTCGGGAAAATTTGTTGCACGATATGTTTTTTCAAACTGGAAATTGTCGAACTATCATATCTACATATTTTTGTTGGCTTTAGTTTGGCATTACGAGGCCAAGCTGTAGTTTGTTAATTTTATGCGGATTCCACAAGATGTACGTCATTTTTGTTCTTTTGTTTTCTTTGAGCGTTCCGACAAAATTTTAAAAAGAGTTGAGAAATACCAACACCAAATTGTGCGTCTATCCACTGCACAGTTTGGCCTCGTAAAGGAGTAGCAAGCAATGTTCTTGCAGTTTCAGGCTTAGCTGATGCGAATAAAATCTGTTTTGTTATAGTTTTCCAAAAAGCTTATTGGCTCAAATAATTTCGGTTAATTTTTTATCAGTTAAGTGGCCTCGTGATTTTTTTATGCATTTGTTAGCTTTGAGTAGGTGTTGATAGTTGAAAATTCGGTGTCCCACTCTTTAACTCTACGATATTTAACCCCCTCTGTTTACACCCCCTATATTATAACCCCGTAACATGATAACCCCACAACAATTTAACCCCCTTTTAATGACGATAATTTGTTTCAAATGAAGTCCTTTTTATAAGTACAGGAGTAGTCCAATTAAGCTTACTAATTGAGGCCTGAAAAGCTAGTCTTAATTCACTTGATGCCTCTACATCTCAAAAATAATTGCATT